TAGGTAGATATCGGTAAGTAACCGTGTGTGTAAGAAAGTATAAATATAATACAGTTTTCCTGAATTTACTGAGGCTACCTCAACAGAATCGTAATGACAGCGATCAAGTCAAATCATCCATAACTTACACACTCAAAATGTTATGTCTTGCGACCCTAATTCTGGTATTGAATGCTAGACAAAATTATATATTATATGCCTGACAAATTTTCTGCCAGCAACACTGGGTTTAGTGCTTATTTTACTGGTTGTTCATGAAACGTCCTATTGACGTTGATAATAAATGATTCCGACAATTATAATTCCAATTTTTTTACGTAACATACATAGGTAGGTTATTTAGTTGCTTCAGACATGTCACATTACAAGTAGGTTTTCTGCAAATGGAGGCAAGTTTAATCAGTAAAATAAGAATCAATCTTTAAATCTCTGCAAATATTTACGGTAAATCCTTATTTAATCGTGTTTTTATGTTAATTACCGAAAGTACGCATTATGTGATTTCGAAGCAGACGATTCACACTAAGTCCTCTGGCGGAGACTGAATTAAAGTAAACAGCCCTTAAACTTGCTTTACAAGAATTTAACGCAGTACCATTTCATTGAGACGTTCGATGCTGATCGATAATTTTATTTACGGTCGTCATTTCTTCTGCTTTCAATATATGCAGATTCACCTACAACTCAAGAATTTGCATCTTGTTAAATCTGATTCCATCAGCGTGAGTAAATTGATGCAGTCTGAATCTCCTAAGAAACGCTCGTTGAAGTCTGAGTAAGCGTGATTCTATTTTCACTGTAATTTCTGCATGCCAACTTTTCGTTTAAGTGAACTACCTTTAAAGATCATTTTTTTATTCTGCAGGAATTGGCAGAAAACCCATTTTGACGCTGTTGCGTCATCTGGAAATGCTAAATAATGCAAGGTGGTGCGATAAAATAGGCATATTTTCAAATTTGCAACGAAGTAGATTATGTAAGCCAAATTCGACAAGGTTGATCAAATAAGCTGGTACCATAAGAGTGTAGGAGATCATTTGTTTGATTACTCTGTTCTTACATGTTTAGAAGGAGTTTTAGGACCGTCTGTAAGTCACTATAAATCAGTATATTTGGTATAAATGGCAGAAGCACTTAAGACATCAGTGTTAACCGCATAGATATGCAGGGCAATCAGTTTATTTGCAAAAAAATTACAGATATTTTCAGTATGCAAAACGTATGAATTAGTAATAAAATATTGATAGTGGAAAGATGAAGTATTTGCGAAATTAATGCCTGAAACATATTTACTACATTTGTACTATGACATTTTCACCTAAGTAAATCCAGTCAACTCAGTGGCGTAGTGTGATTTTAGTTATTCCAGAAGCACATTTGATGTCATATTGAAATTCACGCAACGACTCAGGCTTCAAGTTTGTGGTGGGGCTATGTTTTCTGATGGCCAGGTCCCGTCAAGTGAGCTGCAACCTGGAGGTAGCGTCCTTCTTCCTCACCGCCACTGCGTGCTCGGTGATTCGCGTCCGATGTAATCTCTTGGTTTCTCCGATGTAGTTGCTTTGTCCACATATGCAAAAGATCTCCAAAGAATCCGAAACGTCAGTATTTTAAAATTATTCTCCCAGTAACCGCATCTGCTTCTTCTAAACTGTTGCCTTAAACTCGTATTTTTGCTTCTATCGGCAGTGCCTTACGTTTCTGCCAGTAATAGCCGCCATTCTGGTTGCATTGCTAAGCGACGGAGAGGAGCATCTGGCTGGCCTCAGAAAAGTTAAGGCACAGAAGGTCTCAGGTCTTTGTTTTCACTCACCCTTATTCTTCGTGCGTCTTCGGTACGGTCATTTGTTTACAACGCTACGTGGATATGCACTGGCAAGAAATATGAGCCGCATCGTTCTATGTACGTGTAGCTTGTCAGTCTACATATGTCCGGTTACGAAGAAAAAGTGTTCGGTCGCAATTGCGTTTATGCGAATGGAGATGGTTGCTGTTATTG